CACTCCCCCCCTCGTCCTCCCTCCCCGCTCCCCCCCCACGCTCCCCCCCCCCACCGATCCCTGCCCCCCCCGGCCCCCAGCTCCCCCCCGCCCCCCCCGCACCTTGAGGCGGCCCAGCGCCTCGCCGCACTTGCTGAGGTTCGGGCTCTTGCGGTTCCACTCGCCCTTGAGCTGCTCGTACATCCCGGCCGCCGCCTTCAGCCCCGCGGCCGCGTCCGCCCCGTTCACCACCAGCCCGGCCGCCGCCATCGCTGCCATGAATCGGCAGCCGCGCCGCGGCGCCGCCCCCTTTACGGCCGCCGGCGCCGCGCTGCTTTACGGCCGCCGCCCCCCCCATGGCAACCGCGGCCAGCAGCCAACAGGGCGGGCGCGCGCCTCGGTGACGCACCACGAAGCCGCCTGACCGGACGAGGGAGGGCGCGCGCACGACGTCTGACGTCATCAGGAAGGGTCGGGCGGCGCGCGCGCAGCCTGAAAGCGGGTAGTCCTTTGCCTTGGGGTGTGTGACATCTTGGGGCAGTGTGTGACGTCAGGAAAACGGAATGCGTGACGTCATATGGATCGAGGCTGTGCCCCCCATGAGGGGAGCGGATGTGACATCATTGGGCGGGAAAGAGGGGGGGAATGATACCCTGAGGGGAACATGAAACCCTAAAGGGGGCGGATGTGACGTCATGAGGGGTGTGATGTCACGAGGAGATGCGCCGGTGTCAGAAGGGAAGAGGCTGTGATGTCATGGGGGGTGTGATGTCATGAGGAGATGCGCCAGTGTCAGGAGGGAAGAGGATGTGATGTCATGGGGGAAATGTGGCATGGAAAGGAGGGCGGGTGTGATGTCGTGAGGGGAGGGGAAGTGACATCATAGGGCGGCACGGGGCATAATCAGGCTGGGTAATTCCAAAACCGTTAATCCAGCTTCAGAGCATCATGAGATTGTTTGAAATGATAATTACTGGGCTCTCTTCCTTTGCCTGCAGCTTTCTGAGCCTATAGTGGGTGCGCAGGCCACACTTTCCAGCTGTTCTCCACAAGCGAAGGCTAACAATGGGGTTTTTAAAAATGAAAGTGGAGATTCTCCTGTAAGTCCGTTCTTCAGGACCAGGGGCTTTTAATAAATTATCAGGAGACTCATGATGAAATCGTGAGAATTAGCACAATGGGAAACTGAGGCACAGGGTATGTGTGCGTGTGACTTGCCTTCTCTGGGTCTCTGAGTCCGTGGCAGAGCCAGGAAGAAAACCCAGAAGTCCCAGTTCCAACCCTTGGCTCTAACCTGTACAACACGTGCCCTCTTAATCCTGTGCTGTGCCAAATTATTTTGTGAGGTTACATTCCTTAAATGTTTAGAAGGTGTATTGGGTCCCTTGGGGGGGAGAGGCCGAGGCTATCATTGTAACTACACATTACGGAATCTCCTTTAGGTCTTCCCACTATGGTTTTCCACCAGGTGGCGTCCCATACCTGCCATAACATCAGCCACCCCTGATTCTAGCTGCTCTCCCCACATCCCGTAGGGAAGGTTTCATATAAAACTTCCTATCTTCCAAAACCTAGTAGATTTCACACACTTGTGCTGCTTAGTTATCTCCTGTATTAACACCCTCCAATACCACAGCACGAGGTTTGTTTCTGATCCCTAGAAAAGAGCCACAAGATTTACGTAGAACTCCAGTTTAGAGCTGGTTTCGGGTCACATGGGCTTGTGAGGAGTTTAGGTTCACAGCCCCTGAGACTCACGGGGAAGTTTAAGTTCAAATGATCTCAAGACAAAACCCAGCTAGAACTGGCGGTTCTTCGTGGTTTTAACACAAACCCCAGTTTGTGGAAATTGACGTAGGTCCATTGCTGTCAATAGAGCAATGCTGATTTACCCCAGTTGAGCATCTGGCCCCAAAACGGAAATCCCTCTGGGGATCCTAGGGAGTGGGAGGCAGTGAATTCCGAATTCAGGCCCAGATGCACAAAAGTATTTAGGTTAAGTGCCTAAAGACTCCTCCAAGCTGTGACCTCCAGTTCACTCTGAAACTCTTTCCTGCCTGCATTCCAATTCAGTATTTAAACACTGCCTCCCAAAAATCCTCCTGCAGTTTCAGCTGGATAGAGTGGTATTCTTCTTCACTTCCCATCCCAAACTGCTGTGAATTACTGCTGTGTGCTGGTAAAATCAGCAGCTATGCTCCATCCCAGAGCTGGCTGCATTTCATTGCTGGGAGAGCAACCATGGAAACAGCTACTGCCTTTCATGCCTTTTACTAGTAGATGAAGTGCTCCCTTCTAGAAGAGCAGCCATGTCCCACTCCAGAGGTGGTTGCATTTCGGTGCTGTATGAAGTAATCCCTGTATTTATATCAGTTTCATAGGTAGCTCAGTCAAGTGTTTTACTATATCAGGGTTAAATATGATTATTCTTAATGAAGTGGATAGAAAGCGTCAATGTTTCATTTCTTCTTCAGGGTCCCTGTGTAGAAACCAAGAGACGCAGAATATGCAGCATCCTTTTGCCCTGCTGGTGTTGCTGCACATACAGGTTTGCCTGCTGTTGAAGGACTGCGAGTGGAAAGTTGTGCTCAACGATTTTGACAATCTAGGTGGGGACCAAGCTGTGTTTTTTAGGCAGCGCCCAGTCACTAGCATAGCGTCTGTGTTCCAGAATCTGACAGACTCGGCCATAGACCTGAATGATAAAAATTCGGTGAGTGTGACTTTTTCAGAAGGCTTAGCGGGGGGATGAGGGGTGTAGAACAGGGCTTGATTCTGCTCTCGCATCAGCTCTGATCCATTGGGCTCAATACTCCCTTTTTTGTTCAGGCAAATTTGCTTGTGTAAGGTTGAGATGGTTTAAACCTTCCCACTAGTAAATTTTACCTACTCGACGCTTGAACAAAGCTGGAGCCTGATTCTTTTCACGCTTATCTTGGCGTAAATCAGGAGTAACTCCACCCAAGTCAATGGAGTTACACTGGTATAAAACCGTCACAGCCCCCGAAAAGTCATTGATTTTGAACGTTTATTTTTTCGGTGGCAGCATGAAGACGCTTCCCCAATAGTCTTCATGCTTAACAATAGCTGTAGGATCAGTGTGGTTGGGGTCGTTTTTAGATAGGCTTGGAAGGATTAGATTTCCGTTGGTAAATGTCAGCACATGTAAATATCATACACACATAAACTGACAAAACCAGCCATTGATAACCATCGAAATTTACAGATCAGCAGAGTAAGAAAAAAGCTGCTTGAGAACGGATTAGAGTTTGGTGTAAGGTTACGCCCGTTGCATAGTTTGACATGTGATGTTGACAGTTTGTGTTTTAACAGCTAGGAAGCTTGAATGTTTTGAATCTCAACATCTACTGTCATTAAGTAATTATTGTCTGACCCGCCCCATTGGCTGACCTCCCGAAATTTCCCGCAGCTGTGAAAATTTAAATCAATAAAAAATTTAAAATGCTTAAAAATCCACATTGATATTATCCGTCAAAATTATCAAAAAAATCAAAATCGAATTCTGCCAAGCCTGTTTTTAGAGCAGGGGACTCCTGGGTTTTGTTTCCCGTTCTGCCACTGGAATGGTGGAAGGTGATCCACTAGAGAAGAGTGTGGTATGCTGGTTGGAACAGGGGAGTAGGATGTATTCGCAGCTCTGGGAAGGAGAGTGGTCCAAGGCAGGGGAATGGGAGTCAGGATTTGCAGGGTCTGTTCCCAGCTCTTCTGATGCTGGGAAGTGGACAGAGAACCAACAGCCAATTTCACCTCGACTGTTAAACAGCCCTGCGATTTGTCTTTGAACTAGAGGAAAAGTCCTGGTTAGCACCTGTCGACCCAAAGTTTCAAAGCTTTTTTCTGAACTGTCTGCTTCTCCTTTCTGACAGCACTACCTGGGCTTCCCGTACTACTTGAAAATCAATCTAACCTGCATCACTCAGGTACAGTAAAGAGATCGCGTTGCAATTGGAGTGTGCAGCCACCAGGGTCTTCACATGCCACTGCCGTTTTTAAAAATTGGTAGAATTAGTAATAACCGTGTAACATTTGTGGTATAATTCATAGTACATGTTATTCTTTACACTGGAAAGATTTGTTGTTTTATTTACATGACACTTCCAGATAACCATGTGACTGGACTCTCACTAGTCTAACATTTTAACTGTCACAACTGCGGCTGCTGGGAATTTGCGATGGCCGCAAAACACCGTGAATCCGGAAATGACTGAAAAAACAGCCCCACCTGGTGTTCTTTGGAGGTATCGGTCTCAGGCCTAGTCTATGCTAGAAGTGCTTTGCACCACAGCAGGGGTCGGCAGCCTTTCAGAAGTGGTGTGCCGAGTCTTCATTTCTTCACTCTAATTTAAGGTTTTGCGTGCCAGTCATACATTTTAACGTTTTTAGAAGGGCTCTTTCTATAAGTCTGTAATATAGAACTAAACTATTGTTGTATGTAAAGTCAATAAGATGTTTAAAATGTTTAAGAAGCTTCATTTAAAATTAAATTAAAATGCAGCTCCCCCCTGGACCAGTGGCCAGGACCTGGGCAGTGTGAGTACCACTGAAAATCAGCGCACGTGTCGCCTTTGGCACGCATGCCATAGGTTGCCTACTCCTACAGCACAGTATAGGAATACAGGTCCACAACACCAACAAGGCACTTGTAGTGTGGAGGCAGCTATACTGGCAGAGTTGTGTTTTGTTACAGTAAACCCACCACCGCCGGCGAGGGAAACAGGCTGTAGTGGGAAGGGCATGGTTTTGTTGGCAGAGCCGTGTCTAAGCTAGGGACTTCTGCTGGCCCAACTCTGTCAGTCAGGGATCACCCCTCTTCCCACCTGCATGGCCTGGCCTCAGGTACTTACATGGTGCCCATCACTGTAGTATCTGAGCATCTCATAATATTTAATGTGTTCATCCCCACAACACCCCTATGAGGTGGGGAAGGGCTGTTTTCCCCATTGTACAGATGGGGGAATTGAGGCACAGAGCGGCTAAGGGACTTGCCCAAGGTCACATAAGGAGTCTGTGGCAGCGCCAGGACCAGAACTCATGTCTCCCAAGTCCTAGGTAAGTCCTTTGCCCATACCACTTGGCCCTCCTTCCTCCCCTCATATCATATGCTGCCTCCATCAGTCTCAGGGCATTTTACCAACAAGGGTAAGTGCCTCTATTCTCATCTCATATGTGGGGAAACTGAGGCACAGAGCAGCAACTTGCCCAGTGCCACATAGCAAGGTAGTGGCAGAGCAGGGAATTGACCCCATGGCTCCAGCATCCCAGGCTAGCGCCCCCCAAGAACTGCACCAGAGGGTTTCAAGCAGCGATTGCATGTGATCCTCCAAGCCAAGGAAAGCTGCGCTGGCTCAGTGCTCGGGCGGGGAGCTCAGCCCCTCAGCACGGTAGCTCCTCTCTTTCCTCTCTTCCTTCCCTCCAGGACGCGGCGAAGGTCATTCGCAATGCTCACCTGACCGGGCTGAGGCCCATTGTGACCATAACGTTTGAAGCGCCCGTCAACACAGAGCATCAGAAACCCGAGCAGCTGCAGATTGAGATGAAAGGCGCCCCTTACCGGCTCAAGGGTATTCTGCTTCTGTTCCCATTTCAGTGCAAATAACAGGGGTTCCCTCTGCAGGTGATTGCTGGTATTACAGCCTGGCAGGCCCGGGGCTCTACTCTCTTGTTACCTGAGTTACTTTGCTCTAGGGCGTGAAATTACCCTGCCCCTCCCGCCCCCGGGTGCTGAGAGATAGGCCAAGGTTCAGGCACTGCTTAAGTTTCCTTTTGAGGGTTTAAATGGGACTTAAATGGCTCATCAGGTTTTGTGCCAGGCCCCAGAGCCGAGCCCGTAACCTTGCTCTGGGAATCCACCTAGAGAGAAAGGAGTTAGGCGCTTTCCTTTGGTCCCTGGCTTCTTCCCTGTTTGTGGGAGGAAGTGAGGAGCTGCTGCAGCCATGAGAGCAAGACAGATGGCTGGGGAGGCAGAGGGGAGGACAGAGAGAAATTGCGGAGGGAAAGACGAAGAGATGTCTGCCTCCACCCTTGGCTGTGGTCAGATTCTCGTTTATGGCAAGGCCCTGCTGTGGGGAGCTCTGGCAACATGAAAGGGGCGCTGAGTGGGCAGAAAGAACCCCATGGAGAAGGAATTCTGCAGCTAGTGTAAGGGACCTATACTGGCCTGTCCTACCTGGGTGTAGGGGGCAGATCAAGCCTTTCTGCCCTCCCTTCCTCTCGGATCCAGGGAATGGCCAGAGTGCACTGCGCTATGGCTGTTCTCTGCTGTCATCAGCAGCAGAGCGTAAGTCACAGCAGCCCCAAGGCTGCTCTAACTTACCCCAGCGGCTGGGCCAGGCCTGGCGCAGCCCCAGAATATAGGTAGCCCAAAGGGTTTAAAGCCGCCTTTGCCCCGGCCCTGTCCCAAGCGCAGGAGTGGAATGACTGAGAACTCATGTGAGGGTGTCCAAGCCTCGTGGGGGTATCTCTTTGTCTCTTGGGCATCGACAGGGCCTTGTGCCAGCGAAGAGGTTTGCCGGATGTGCTGGTACACGCCCATGCCAATGACGAAGAGGAGCGTGGTGATGGAGGTCCTGGTGGAGAGCAATGGCCTGGGCTTTGAGGTGGACAGCAAGAGGTGAGGAGGGCTGGCGCTGCCCAGGGGCGGCCCAGGATCCCCAGGGCTGCCTCAGTAACCTGCAAGGAGTCGGAGAGCTGCCCAAAATGGAGGGAGATGGCAGCTGCCCTCCTCCCTAAAGGGGACCTGCAGAGAGGGAAAATTGGGCTTCTGCCCTTCGACCCTCTGGGATGACTCTGATGTAATCATTTACGGCATGTCACCCCTGTGTGTAGCGCTGTACAGCTGGAATACAGACCTGAGGAGATCCATCCGTCCATCCACACACACACACCCCGGGCATCTGTGTGAGCCGTGGTGGTCTTAGGATAGATAGATATATAGATAGAGGGGGTGTGTGGGGATAGATAGATAGATAGATAGATAGATAGATAGATAGATAGAGGGGGTGTATGGGGATAGATAGATAGATAGATAGATAGATAGATAGATAGATAGATAGAGGGGGTGTCTGGGGCTAGATAGATAGATAGATAGATAATGTATGGGGCTAGATGGATCTAGCTATATTAGGGGATAGATAGATGATAAAATTATTCTATCTATCTATCCCGATACATGGCTTTCTGTCTGTCTGTCTGTCTGTCTGTCTATCCATCCGTCCATGCTCCCTGGACATTTATACTTATCTATCCTGGACATTTATACCACACTTGACTTTAAAGATGGTTGGTGGTACTCAGTTCCTCTGAGGGGTACTCAGAACCTCCCTGGACTGGACCCTTTGAGGAATATGTGGTGCCCTGAGTTTAGAGAGAGAATACAGCTCAGACCCCTAATACAGCAGCTGGCTGGGGGCGGGGGGGGGATCAGCTTTTAGCCTTGCTGTGGCAGTTCTCAGGAGCAAATGTTTGGCCTATGGAAATCTCCAAACAGCTGGTGATATTAAGACAGGTGGTCCATGGGAAGCAGTTGGGATCTTCCCAGATATGGGCTAGCCCTGCACCTCAAGATATGACTCCATTCAAGCACAGAAGCATTGTGGGAAACGCCCCTGGCCCGTACAACAATTTTTTAAATAAATCCGGGCAAAGATATTTTTTATAAATCAGTTTTTCTTCGCTGTTTACAGATTTTTTATGAATATTAACGGCTACATGAAGGAAACTGAGACCGGTTTACAGTCTTCCCTGGGAGAGAAGGTAAATTGTGGTAAAGGGTTTGTCTTTGCTACAAAAAAAGCGGTGTTCTTAACTCGTGTTACTGAATACGAGGTAAAACCCTAGAGAAGACAGAGTAGTTTTAACATGAGCTAGAATAACAACACCAAACTCTTTTATGGTGCTTTTTATCTGTAGGTCTCAAACTGCTTTATCCCCATTTTAGAGATGGGAAACTGAGGCACAGAAGAGGGAATGTGACTTGCCCAAAGTCACCCAGCCGGCCAGGAGCAGAGCCAGGAATAGACTCTAGCTCTGTTAAGTGCCAGTTTAGGGCTCTAACCACTAGGCACCATTGCTTCTCTACCAAGCCTGGTCGGAAGTCTGGGTGTTTACTCAGGCAGCTAGTCAGTTCTGATGCTCATCCTGCCACAGCTTCCCTGCTATTGGTCCCTGTGCTAGCTAGATTAAAGCTAGCTGGGGTGTGCTGTGCGAGCTACGGTCACACACCCCGGCTGCGGTGTAGACGCACCATTACGCCACGTCCACATTAGCGACCTTACAGCGGCGCAGCTGTACCACTGCAGCCGAGCCACCGTCAGACCGCTCATGTAGCCGCCCAATACCGACAGGAGAGAGCTCTCCCATGGACATCATAAACCCACCCCCATGAACGGTGGTAGCTATGTCAGCCGGAGACTCTCGGGGTGTGTTTTTTTCACCCCCCTGAGTGCCCTAAGCAGTAGTGTAGACATGAGCTGAGTGCCAAGGTGAGAAACAAGAAGACATGCACCCTGGCCTTTTCTCCTCTGCTGCCATTAGCACCTTCTGGGCCAGTGTTTCCTGAACGGTGGGTCCTGACCCACGGGTGGGTCGCGGGAAGGTTCTAGATGGGTAGAGGGCCCGGTGTGAAAGGTGACCCCCAGGGTATGTGCGGGAGGTTGGAGAGCAAGTGTCAGGGATCCACCGGATCAGTGCTAGGCCCCCAGCTTTGCAACAGTCTCTAGGAGGAACCCCTTCGGCGTGCCAGACCCCCACGGGGCCCCACTCCACAGGGGAAGCCACACGGCTTCCCTGCCTCCTTGACCGAACCTCGGGGGCACCGGTCCCGCTACTTCATCCCGTGCGCTCTGCCCAGCAAGTCCAGCTGAGAAAACCGCCTGGTAGAGAGTCGCCCACTCTACAGAGATGAACGCACCTCACCCAGCATTTGCAGTGACACTCAAACGGCTAGGTCCGAACAGCCCAGGAAGTCCTTAGGGCAGCCAGAGAACTGACCCCATGTTCAAGCGCTGTTCTCTCTCTATCAATTCCCCGGGGAAAGCCCTGACTCCTTCCAGCAGCTGCACTTATCCTACCGCCTCTCCAGTCCTTTGTTCTCCCGCTGGGGGATATTGCCTCGCTGCCCTGCTGAGAGATGGGAAAATCCATCTCCCTCTGTGCTGGGGGTTGCAGGCATCAACGTCCTGTGATGGGATTTGCCTGAGAAGATTTTCCATTGATATGGGGTTAGCCAAGCCTGTCCTTTTGTTAATGACCCATTCATGCTCGGACAGCCAGGCCGCATTCATACCTAGTTGGGGTTGGTCCTGCTTTGAGCAGGGGGTTGAACTAGATACCTCCTGAGGTCTCTTCCAACCCTGATCTTCTGTGATTCTATTCTATGATTCTGTGTCTCTGAACCTGCCCTGAGAGCAAACAGTCCTTTTCCCCCTGACTGCACAGCCATGTGAAATACGAGGGAAACTGAGGCACCCGTCGGCTTCATACAAATATTACAGAAAATTCCCACTTTGTCACAGCAAGCCCACCCTGTGTTCACCCCGCAGCAGTGGTTCCTGTGGGCGTTACCACCTAGGTCACGGCCCCGCGCAGGTTTGGCCTGGGCATGTTGGAGGAGCGGCTGGAGTTGCGGTGTCGGGGCAGAGGGTGCTGCGGAGGGCGATTGGTGCCCCTTCATCGGGGCGAGGAGGAGGCGGAGGTGGCAGCAAAGGAGAAGAAGGATGCTGGTGTATGATTGTGGGGACCTCCCCCCACAAATTTGGACCCTGTGTGGGTTGCAAAACTAGCCCAAATGCAATTGGTGGGTGACCGTGGTAGAGAGTTTGGAACTGCCGTTCTAGGTTACATCACTGGTGGAGACGATGTCATTTTACAGCTCGTCCCGTCCCATTTGGTCCACCTTCAATCAAGCCCCCGTGCTGATCCTCGGGGGATTCCAGGCTTACAAAATCATCCTGGTTTCAGACTCGGAGTTTGCGGATTTCACTGCAGTGGAGGTAGAGAGCCGGGAACGGGGGCGTTGGGTCGCTTCAGAAGGCAGCCGCAATGGCACCTCTCTTCCAGTTAGGGCTCGATCCCGTTCCCATTGAAGTAGGAGGGACGTCACGGCAGCTTTATACCGGTGGCAGGCACAGAGATCAGAATCAGAGCCCTTGTCTGAACAGTGGTTCCTAGGCTGATAATGCTGCTGTGGTGTCACGTGTCTATGTGCATGCGCTGATTTCACATCAGGGCAGCTCAGTTTACAAGAGAGGGGAGGGGAGATAGAAGCAGGGACAGGGAGTCAGGACTCCAGAGTTCCATTGCTGCTCCTGGAAGGGAGTTCCCTCTAGTAGAGAGCAGGAGTCAGGACTCCTGGGTTCTAGTCCCAGATCCAGCGAGGAATGTGGTATAGTAATGAGAGGCGTGTGGTGATTTAACAACAGCAATGTAACATATATTTATTTTGCCCCTTTCATCCGGAAACATATTACACACTTCAGTCGCTCTTCGCTGCCAGCTCTGGTTCCGCTCTCATTCCCTTTGGCGCGAATCAGGAGATACGCCCCCTGAAGTCAGTAACGTTGCTCTGGCCTGCAGTTGCCATGAGGTCGAAATCTGGCCTTCTTTCTACAATGATCGTGTTTCCCAGGGTTGCTGGCTGCAGGGGTGAAAGTCCCTGAATAGGAATCTGGACTGAATGCAACAGGAGTGTTTTGCAACAAGGGATTTACAGCGGTAAAAACCAAGTTAGCCGAAGGGAACAGTCAGAAAAATGGTGCGTGATCACCTCCCTCAAAAGATTACAGAGCTGGGTAGAGAGAGGGGCAGTTAAACAAGACCCAGCCAGTGGGACAGCTAGAGAAGTCTGGTCAGCCCAAGAATTGTGGGCCAGACCCAGGCGGGGTCCCCAGAGCGAGTCTGTGCCTTGTGAATTTCTTTACAGCAGTGCAAAGTGAGCGTGGAATGCTGCCTTTCAGATCTGGGAATGCCCGCTTGGCACTGCTGTCCATGACAAGGCTTGGGGAGACGGAGGAGCAGGCCCGGGGAGCTTTACCGCCAACTGAAACGGGAGCAGGATCGGCCCCTAGCTGAGATCAGGATCGGGTCCGCTGCCCCTCATTTGTCCTCTCTGTGTTTCAGGTGGGGATCGACAGCTGCTGGATCGGGTCCCGGAACTGCGCCCCGAACGTATTCTCCTCCTCTGTTGTCGATGCCATTGCTACAGAAAGCGTGCTCTTCCTCCGTCAGAACCAGCTCGTCTATTACTTCACTGGGAACTATTCCGTCCTTTCTCCTCGTGCGCCGGGATCCAGTAAGAGACGCCGGAGACGGCCAAGACCCAGCAGCTTCCCCACCCAGAGAAGGAGGTCTAGTGATTAGGGAACCAGCCGGGGAGGTGGGAAAGTTTAATTCCCTGCTCTGTCACAGAGTTCTTCTGTTACCTTGGGTGTCACTTAGCTTCTCGGGACCTTAGTTCCCCGTCTGCAACACAGGAATGATAGCGCAGGGGTACCTCGAGGCTCAGCGCATCAAGGACTGGGTGATGGGGCCGTATGACCTAAGACAGTCTCTCTCTTCTCTCTAGGCCTCTGGACCCGTGTGCTGAACAACATCTGCGTGTCACAGTTAAACCCTGTGCACTTCCCCCACAACGGCTCCGAGTATGTGATTGCTCTCGGAGGGGGCCTGCAAGAAGGGAAATTCTTCCTTGGCACTATTCGCGGTATGACGTGCGGGCCAGATCATTCGCCCCGGGAGCAGTGCTGTTTCACACCAGCTGAGGACCTGACTCTGTGTCCCACGAACTGACAGCCGCCCCTTAGAGTGTTTATTGCTCCGTCCTCTTTGCACGGGCAGCAGCTGGTGCAACATTTAGTGCTGGTGAAGGGAGCTGGGAGGAGAGGAGCCCGTCCTGCATACAAATAAGTGGCAGCTGTTAAAGTTTTACAACTTGCATTGCCTGAAGGGCCACCTCTGTTATTATGATTGTGTGTATCAGGCCCCTCATTGTGCCAGGCGCTGCACAGACCACATTGGCGATCCGGGCCCCCGTCGTGCTGGGGGCTCACAGACCACAACCGAGATCAGGGACCCTTTGTGCCGGGTGCTGCCCAGACACACACTGAGAGACAAGGCAGACCTGGAAGGGACCATTATCCCCACGTTATAGGTGGGGAACTGAGGCCCTGGTAGATGCAGTGACTAGCCCAGGGTCCTATCTCCTGAGTCCCTGTCTGAACCAGGAGACAGCTAAAGTGCTGAGTAATTGATAGGTACAAGCCAACTGCACGCTAAGGGCGTAGCCACAGGTGGGTCTGGGTGGGCCGTGGCCCACCCACTTAGAATCCAGGCCCACCCCCCAGCCCCGGCTCTGCTCTGGCCCAAGCACTTGCCCCACTCCGCCTATCTGCCTGGTGCTCCAACCGGGGAGCAGGATCGGGGCACGGGGCTTGCTCCACCTGCCTGGCACTCCTGCCGGGGCTGGGTGGGTGGAGCGGGGCAAGACTCCACACCCTGGCTAGAATGCCAGGCAGGTTGGCGGAGCGGGACATCCAAAGCCGGCTGCAGGGGGTGCGGGGAGGTGGGCCCCCCATTCCTCCTGCCCTCCCAGCCCCCTGTAATTGCTCGCCCACCCAAAGTCAGGGCCCACCCAAATATCCCAGGCTGGCAATGCCACTGGCCCGACTGGCTGAAATCCTGCAGCTCTTTTCTCCCCTCCAGATGGAGTCGTTCAGTTTCGCGAATCACACGGCAGGGGGAGGAAGACAGTGTGCGAACATTTGAAGAGTACGTGCCTTTTGGGTCCTTGTGTTCCTCAGGGTCCCTGCTTAACAGATCCCCAGCTGGTATTAATGGGAGTCGCTCCACTGGACTCAGTGGGGCCAGATCCTCATCTGATGTAAATTGGCTACAGTGCCATTGAAATAGGCATAGGCTTAGCGCTGTTCTGATTTACACCAGCTGAGGTTCTGGCCCAACGTTTACGTGGTGCTGTGCAGGAGCCTCACAAAATTATAACATTTGGGTCTAGTGGTTGGAGCGAGGGGGGGGGCTGGAAGTCAGGACACCTGGGTTCTGTTCCCAACTCTGGAAAGGGAGTGGGGCCTAGTAGTTGGAGCGGGGCGGGGCTGGAAGTCAGGACACCTGGGTTCTGTTCCCAACTCTGGAAAGGGAGTGGGGTCTAGTGGTTGGAGCAGGCGGGGCTGGAAGGCCGTCAGGACTCCTGTGTCCATTCTCAGCCCTGCCATTGATTGGCTGTTCGACCTTGGGGTAGAGAGCCTGGCTGTTAAGGTCTGGGGTTCCCGTTGTGTTGGGATTCATTGTGGGAGGGGGAGTCTGTTACAGAGAAAAGGCTCGGCTGTGAATCCCCAAACAAATCCATGAACGAAGGCCCCAGCTCCCAGCTGCAGGAGTAAAAAATTATTTAAACCACAATACGCGAGCCGGCTCATCAGCTGCTGCCGCCTCCCTGAATCAGAGGCGCACAGGACTGCAAGGGGCCTCCTGCCATATCACCCCGGTCAGACGCCAATCAAGCTCCATCCTCCAGCCAGTTAGGTTCTTTGCCCCTCACTGCTCCTATCTGAAGGCTGTCCCCTCCTTGGAGGGCTAGACACCTTCTTCTCATCTCCAGCCTCCTGGACATGTTCTCCCCCTCCATTTCCGATGCCACCGCTATGGGAAGCAATCCAATCCTACACTGAATGGCTATGTGTGAAAAACCCACACCCCCAAGAGACCTAGTCCAGGTGACTTCTCCCCCAGTGTAGACAGTGTTAGCTCAAGGGAAGAATTCTTCTTAGCTACCACCTCTGGGGGAGGTGAATTGACTACAGTGACTGGAGAACCCCTCCCATTTTAAGTGTAGACATAGCCTCAACCTGCCGTTTGCCAGGCGAAACAAGCTCCCTCTCTCCTCTCAAGAGATCGGCTCTCCAGTCCCCTGATTATCCTCTTCTTCTGCACCGGTTCCCATTTGAATCCATCTTTCTTGAGCCTGGGTGACCAGAATTGGAGCCAGTGTTCCAGATGACCTCATGTGGAACTCTGGCTCCAATTCTGGAACACTGGTACAATGGAACACTGGTGCAATTCTGGAACACTGATACAATTCTGGAACACTGGTACAATGGAACACTGGTGCAATTCTGGAACACTGATCCAATTCTGGAACACTGGTACAATGGAACACTGGTGCAATTCTGGAACACTGATACAATTCTGGAACACTGGCTCCTCACCTGGAACACTGGTACAATGAAGCAGTGACATGTTATACGAGGAGACTGTTGCTTATTCAAAATCATCGCCACAGAGATGTTTAGAAAAAGCCGTTTGGAAAGATTTTCTGCCTCTCTCTTTCTCTCTCTCCACTTTCAGTTTCTTGCACGATCCTCTGGGCTGTCTACATCACGGAAGAGGAGATGATTGTGCTGCTGGTGAAAGGGAAGAAAAAGAACAGCGAGTCCGATTACTACCTCATGGCCTACGATCAAGGTCGGGCTGTCGTTCTGGACCGATACAAGCATAAAGCCAGCTGCTGTGAATCAGCGTCCTTCCATCAAAGTCTGTGGAGCGACGCTGAGGTTCACATGCTGCGAACCGGGTCCCTACGTGGGCTGTGTTGGGGGAGGGGCAGTGGGGGCAGAATGTGTTGTCAGATCCTGCTAGCCCCAATGCTCAGCAGGGTCGGGCCTCGGGAGGGAGTTAGCTCGCAGAAGGTGTTGGTTTATCTCATGTGTGAGAGTGATGATCTAATAATTGGACCATGGAGGAGAACTGAATGGCTCTGGGACTGCCTTTGCCCGCCTAGATGATTGGTTCAAGTCCAGCCTAGGTCAGTAGCAAATGAAAATGTTTACGGGCTACCAGCCAGTCCAGCCCCTGGTGAGGAACTGTTCCTATCGCTGCAAACTGCCCCAGTCGCAGCAGAGAGGCCAAGGACGGAATGGTGACAGGGACTGAACTGCCCACTAGAAGTCATCTTTCTAGGTCAGGACTAAGAGTGTGTCTACACTGCCATCCGGGGTGCGACTGCCGCTTGGGTAGACGTACCTGCGCTCGCTTAACCCATGCTAGCATGGCTAAGAATAGCAGTGGAGGCACACATTCCCCATGTGATCTTGGGGGAGTCACTTAGCTGCTTCGTGACTCGGTTTCCCCATCTGCGCAATGGACGTAATAGTACTGCCCTACCTTCCAGGGGGTTGTGGAACTAAACCAGAGGTGGGCAAACTACAGCCCGCGGGCCACATCCAGCCCCCAGGATTGTCCTCCCCGGCTCCTGAGCTCCCAGCCGGGGAGGCTAGCCCCCAGCCCCTCCCCTGCTGTTCCCCCTCCCCTGCAGCCTCAGCTCACCACGCAGGCAGCGCAGCGGCGTGGCTGGCTGCAGCCGGGTGGCGTGGCTGCCAGTCCTGCCGCTATGAGTGGCATGGTAAAGGTGTGGGGAGCGGGGGGGGGGGGTTGGATAAGGGGCGAGGGACGTCCGTGGGGGGGCAGGTCAGGGG